ACCCTGATGTGCAGGGTGCCCTCTGGCGGGTGATCACAGGGAAGCGGGCACTGACATGATAAGGTCTCCAGCGTCACTACCTTCTTTTCTCTTTTTGGACTAAAGGAGGAATCCTCTGGGCCAGTAGCTAGGATAAATGACTCAGAACTGCTATCTCTCTGAGCATGAGGATTTTTTAATTTTTTTTTTTTTAGTAAGGGATAATAATTATTGTTTCTCCAAAGAAGCCCTGCCCAGCTCTAGGCAATGGATATGCAAACTAATGTGTCAGTTCCCTCAACAAATTACAACTTCAGTCACTGGGTGCTCCCTTTTCTGGGTAGAAGTGAAACTTAGGGAGCCCTGAATGCTTACAGGTTCATATCCCACAGAAAATGGCTCTTTGGCCTCGTTTCCCCAAAATATCCCTACAAGTTTCCCCACCAGGAGGTTGAGTTCAGGTATAGTTGGTCTGTTAATAAAACATAGGCCTAGAGATCAGAATTATTTTATTTCTCTCATCAGACATCTACAAGTCTAAAAATGCAGCTCATCTCTTTGTATCACACTAAGATGCCCTGAGATATGGAGGGGACAAATGGGGAGCTGAATGGTCATGTGTTCTCTAGTAACTCTGGAGAGCATGATCCCTGTGTGCAAAAAATTTGTTTTTAAATCCTCATCTAAGGATATATTTAATGATTTTGGAGAGAGGGGAAGGGAGAGAGAGAGAAATACTGATGTAAGAGAGAAACATTGATCGTTTACCTCTCACACTGCCCCCACTGGGGATCGAAGCCACAGTTTAGGTATGTGCCATGACCGTGAATTGAACCCACAATCCTGCTTGTCCAGGGACATATCAGAAGACACATTCTTCTTCTGTGTTCTCAGAGGTAGGCCCAACTGCAGATCTTGAAGTGACCCCATAATCCAGCTCCTACCCTTTGAAGCGTAGGCTAGGAACACATCTGCCTATCCAATGACTTGGAGGAAGACATGGTCCCACAGGTAGGCCTGCCAAAATGGTCTGACTGTGGTTCTTGGAGAAGCCCTGTAACCAATATCCAACTTCAAAGAGACATCTCAGCAGTTTATTGGGACCAGCTCCAGGCATCCCTGCCAGAATGTTAAATCCTGAATCCTGAAAAGTGCCCCCATGTCAATGAGCTCTTCCTATTCAGCCTTTCATTCTACCTACTCCTTCATTCCTCATGGTCCATTCTCATATTACTCCTCTATAAACTGAGGGAACTTCCAGCTTATGCCAGGACATAATAGCTAGTGTGTTAGTTTCTTATTGCTCCTTTACCAAATAACTATAAAGTTGGTGACTTGAAACAAAAGAAATTTATTCTCTCATGGTTCTGGGGGCCAATCCAAAAATGAGTCCTACAGGGTCAGCTTCAAGGTGTCAGCAGGGAAAGTTCTTCCTGGAGGCTCCAGGGGAGAATCCATTCTTTGTCTCCTCCATCTTCTAGTGGCTGCTGGCATTCTTTGGCTTGTGGCCACATCACTCCAATCTCTGTTTCCATCATCATATTGCATTTTTCTCTTCTGTAATAGAATATCTCTCTACTTCTCTCTTATGAGGACTCTTGCAATTACTTTTATAGGGCTCTCTTGGATAATCTAGGTCACAGGGGTCCTCAAACTTTTTAAACAGGGGGCCAGTTCACTGTCGCTCAGACCGTTGGAGGGCCGGACTATAGTTTAAAAAAAACAAACTGTGAACAAATTCCTATGCACACAGCGGCAGCAAAAACACCCGGGCGGGCCGGATAAATGTTTTCGGCGGGCCACATGTGGCCACGGGCTGTAGTTTGAGGACCTCTGATCTAGGATAAGTTCCCCAGCTGAAGACTCCTAACAATCTACAAAGTCTTTTTATCAGATAAAAAGATGATTTCAGGAAATATATATATCTGGGGGCCATTATTCAGCCTGCCACAGCCAGACATGGGAATTCTTTCAAATGAGAAAATTATTTCCTCTTGGATTATCGATGGGATTTCCCCCCTCAGAATATGGTTAGAATTACCCCTATTTTTTTTTCTGGAGGCACTGTGGAGAAATGGAAGAAGTTCTTGAGGAGGACAAAAATCGCCTCCTTTGCATGGTCTTCGGGCAAAAGGAGGTTAACTTCCTCTAGCAAGGGAGCAGAGATGCTTTTACCAGTCACGTTAAGGAGCTTTGAGGGGTTCCAAATTCTCACGCTCAGCTTCTCAAACATCCCCATTCAGGACTCAGGTC